GAGGAGGCCTTAATTGACAGAACTGGCTCCATGGATCAATTACCTCTTTTTAAATGAAAATGCTCTCCAAAAGCAAAATCAGCATGTGTGCTTGTGGCATTATTCTGGGGAAAGAGCCAAAGCAGGGTACTCATACAGCAACTATGCAGTTGTTCAATGCCTTTAAAAAGTGTGGAAATAGGAATGGGACAGGTGTCCCCCACCATACTCCAAAACAGATGCTTATGTCAAACAGCTAAGCCAGGCACCAGTTTAATGTCATGTGCCTATCCAAATATTCTGGATTTGAAATTATATTTTGTCCTGTATGATCTTATATAAAATTGTAGCATAGCATCTAAAAAAAAAAAGCCCAAATTAACCTTCTCAAAATTTCCCTCTTCCGCCCTGTGACTATGTGATTCCATTGTTTTGGGGCATTTGTCCTTATGTATGGGTAAGATTGAGAGATTTAGATATAATATGCAGAGAAATATAAAAGGATATCAGTTAAGCTTGAGGGTGAGTCTAATCGACTTTCAGTAGAAGCTGAGCACTAGAATTGCTTAGACAATTTTCTATATCTCATTGGACACACATCTCACCATTAGGTATGTAAGTAACTATTTATCTGGCCCATAATTCACCAGTTATTTTACTTTCAGTGTGATAATAGTTTTGACACAGACAAAATGTATTTCTGGGAAATTTTAGCATTTTTCTTCTTTTTGTCCCTTCATATTGACCAATCATTGCTTTGTAATCAAATGACTTAATTATGCCTATATTTTAAAACATAGCAGTTATTTCACGTAGCTGTTCATACTTACATGCATTGTGTTTGATTTTTGGTTTGCGATTCAGTTCCAAGTATCTTTCCTTACTGTGTTGTGTTACAAAATGGCATGAATAATTATGACTGTTTTGTTTGATCACAGAATGAAGGCATCTACTTAACTATGGCATTATAGGGCTCTGTAAATTATTTTAAAGGTAATAGGGTTGAGAGGGACAAAAGTAGAATTCCAATTGCACTTTTTAATGCCAATTAAATTTCATATAAGAATATCAGCATTTGACATCTTTTATCCAGCATTTCGAAAGATGATTTAATTCCAAAAATGCATGCTTTTTATACCTCACGAAAGCTAGAGAGAGTCCATCATTAATTCACACAGTACTGAAGGGAGAAAAATAGCAGAATTGTATTGAGCCAAGAGTGAACCTTCTTGCTTTTGAGAGTTACTTTCACAATTTTAATATGACTTAAATGTAGATTTCTGTCTTTAATTTTACTCTTCAAGTTGTGTGAATATTTCTCCTTGTGAAACTTGACAGCGTAGAACTACCTGAAACTGAAGGCTTTTATACAAAGGTCAGATATGATGTAGACAGTCACTTAAGCTTCCTCTCACTACCCTGGAAATAATGCCCTCTTTGATCTAAGAGGCATTGTCTGCAAGAATAAAAAAGAAATTCAGTCTTCATACTAGCTCTGCTCTGGATGTCTCCTGAGCAGAGAATATCACCTGTATCCAGTTGTACAAATTATATGTAGTACAGAGAGGTGGAGGGCTGTACATAAGGGATTAAGCTATAACCTCTAAATTCAGAAAGAGCTTAGAGCTGCAGCAAGCCATACAACTTTCACTTAATGTTGACCTCTGACCTGGAACTGAACAGCAAAATGCTGAAACTTTAATAATAATAAAAAAATACATATATCACGCGTTCTCGCCTAGGCCACTTCCATTAACAAACCACATTTTTACTTCAGCCAGTTTTGTTGGCAATACTAATGCTGAGGATGAACGGAGCTGTGAATTTAAGTTAGCCAGTTTCTTACTACATACTGATGATGGACTCTCTATGATATATTGTACATTTTTAGAGCTTGAAACTAAGGCTATTGAAATGGGTGGAAAATTTCTAATGAAATAATGGGGTATGGATTCATTTCACCTAGGAATAAATTGCCAAAGATCTTAACCTGAGCTGTGGTACTGGCATAGGCATAGTTTAGCACCCTGGGCAAAAATTCCCTTGGTGGCGAGAGAACTGGAGAACACCAAGGATGAGGCGAAGAGAAAAGAAGGGTCTTACCTGCCTCAGGGGCTCAAAGACCTCCACTGCGCTTGTCCTGTCCCCACAGCCAGCTTCTACAGATGGGTGGCATGGGGCTGCTCCTAATTCAGTAAAGACTCTGAATGGGGGGTGGGTACCATTGTGGCACCTAGGGCTGCTGCCCCTCTCTCCCCCTGCCAGCTTTACTACTGAGTACTGGTGTTGTACCATCTTGATACAAAACCCAAAATCTGATTTGCAAACATGTCACTTGCAAATATAGGCTGGGTTACCAGACATCCAGGGAAACAGTGATGGATTCCCAGATATCTCAAATTAATTTAAGAAAGGGAAAATGCTGAGAAATTTATAACGATGTTGCCTTCACTTGCAAAGTCCAAGAGTTTTTGGTACATTGCTAGCAAAAGCTTTGCTGTAAGTGGTAAAGACATCTGACCCACAACCTTGCTATTGCTGATTATTTACATTACAGTAGCATCTAGAGGCCTCAACCAGTTAAAGGCCAACTGAATTAGGAAATACAAAGACAGAGAAAAGCCACACTCCCAAAGAGGTTATAGTCTAAAATATGAGACATGCCAGATGGATGAAGCAAACAGAGGTTGTGTTGAGTGGGAGGGTAGCATTAACAGCAGAGACTAGTTTGCATGTCGTTGACATGTACACATGCATGTCTGCGCTAAGCCTGGTCATGTACTTTGGTAACACATTTTTCTTGATTTATATTTATGCCTTACATGATACATTGAGGGAGCTAAGCAGATGTAGATACATGCTTCCGAACTGTAATGAACTCCATTCCAGGGTTTGCAGAGAATATAAGGAAACCCATGGACAGAAAGTGAGGGAAGTGGAGACCCTATAGGTTTGAAGAGTGTAACAGAAAGCTGAAGCTGATTGGCTAGAGAAAGATGCGTTGGAATTCAGAGCAGAGGAGAGAGGAGATGAATGACAAGCAAATTGTTAGTGAAAGGATTATTTTAGGCGGCAGTAACATACGTGGTGGGGGAGGGAGGGAAGGAGGGAGGCAGCAGCCCTGGGCCCTACCTTCAGGAGAGGGCATAAAAAAATTGCCTGAAGCAGAGCCATTACCCAGGGCATAGGGCTGCCCTGTTATGCCTCTAGTAGGAGGTGAAGCCATTCTAGAGCTCTGAAGGTACTGGATTAACCAAGCAGTGCAAAGTATGAATTACATTTCTCCTGCGAATACAGTGACTTGCTTTGTCTAGCATGCCCTGGTTTAAAAGAAATGTGTGCCCCTCAGTTCATTTAACTTCTTCCTTCAGTCTGTTTTGTCCTTTTGAAATAGACATTGGTAGACCATTTTTCTCAAACTTACTTTAAACAATGGCTGGAGAAAACAGGAGCATACACTAGAAAAAAAACAAAAGAAAAACCCACCACGAAGCCTATATCCATGTTGCCAGCATTTGTGATTAACCTCGTATCAGTGCAAGACCGTAGGCTGGGCCATCACACAGGGATAGAAGTGGTTTGTAACCTGATTCTGCTGTCACATCACTTATGAAAAATGCATACTCAGAAGCTCTGCAACTTCTGTACAGCCAACATGTTTCCATTCTTATGCCACAATTAGAGTATTCAATACTTTATTTAATACCCAACTTTCGCCTGGGTTTTATGGTTAGGGGATTTGGCAAGACTTATTAGTATTCATGGGCTCGATGAAACTAATATTGGACTATCTCTATTTTTTGTGCAATTCATTTTATACTGCATGATTTTAAAGGTTCAACTGGGGCAAAATTCACATTTTGACTTCAGCATGCACCAAAGTTGCCTTTGACACTGACAGATTAATGCTGAATACAGAGCACTTTCTTCTCCATTTACTGTTATCAACTGTAGCACCACCTGGAAATGTGTTCTCACTGGATTATAGATATGTAAATTATTCTGGTTTCAAACAAAATATAAGTTATGACCCATTCACTAGGCTATATTGCTATATCATTGCTTGCTATTTAAACAGGGAAAAGTGGCTTTCAATAAAATATCTGTATTGGCAAACAAGATACTGTTAAAGTAATTCTTTTAAAATACCAAACTTGTGGGACGTGATTTTCATGGGGAAATTATCTAAAACCTAAGAAGTAAAAGCATTTAAAATGGAGTAGGAAACAGACATTTTTTTCCATGCATATGCCTATTTTTGCAGATAACCTCTTTATATTTCAATACTGCCAGTTGCACAAAAAAGGTAAAAACAAAAATTAGACACACTTAAAGACATGCTTCCTCTGCTAAACTATTCTGCTGGGACTTGGTATGGATAAAAGTAAACCGTTAAAATATTCTGCATGGCTAAGCCTGCTATCTCCGGGTAATATTCATTGGTTAGGATAACACTTTTAGGGTTTAGTACCTAGCTTCTTAAGGGTAAAAATAAAGACTCTATCTGTCCATTGGGATTATTAATGGTAAGTGATTTGCACGTTAACATCAATAGCAATAATGAAGATGTCTTTTCTAATTCATCCTGGGGAACCTTGAATGAGAAGTGTTATTTGTCTGGGGCTTCATTCTTTAATAGAGTCCAAAGATAATTGACTATTGAAAATTCTGTCTAAATCAACCAAATAAATCTTTCGCTTACCAAATTAATAATTTCATTGATGCCATCAGCCTTCAGTTCTCACTCCATTAAATTCCTAAATTCATGTTAGAATGGCACAGCAAACAAATTAAAATGAGATTCTTATAAAAATGAGAATGATAAGATTGTGCTTTCTGAAAAAGCAATTTAACTCCAATAAATTATTTTTTAAATTATTAAATGAGGCATTGCATTAACTACAAAAAAGGAGCTTAAAAGGGCATTGGTCTATGAACGGCGAGACATCTATAGATCTCTACAACCTTGAACAATTATATCTGTAATAATTGCATCATAAAACTTTAAGGCATCTCGTACAATATTTCTTTTTTTTTTTTTAATATAGCGTTTTGATCAGCGTCACAATGAGACAGTGAACCAGAAACACAGCTAAATGTTTTCCAATAGTCACTTGCTGCTTTATTCAACATGCAGAGCATTAAAGCAAAGCATTGCTTGAATATTACAGATTATTGAGTGACTCACATTTATAATACTGCAAGTTATACTAAAGCTATAGCAAGAATTCCAGGTACAAGACGAGGAAAATTTTGTAATTCAGATTATATGCTTGAAAATCTGGAAGCTTTAAATGTCAGGGCTGTGCTCTCTGCTTTGGAGCTCTGGTCTGGGAGATGAGGATCCTAGAAGAGGAACAAAAAGGAAGAGGAAAAAGAATGGAGAAAACTTGCTAGCAAGACTGGGCAAATGATAATTTTTTCACCTGCATAAGAACCATTGATCTGTGAAGAAAACCTTTGTTAACTCTCATAGATAATATGGATGTAAATATTATATCAACTAGTTATAGTTGCAAGTTAAGAGTTTTGACCTTTTTTTAGATAAATATGCTAATTTTCACTAGTTTATCAGGACATACAGAATCCACGACTAGTGTCCCAAGGACCTCCTGCCTGCATAATTCCCTCCCCATAAATTCCCATTTCTTTCCATCTACTCCTTATATTAAATTAATAACAAACTGCAACATTTATTAGAATAGGATTATCCATTGCATACTCTATGGCTAGTGTAGAAGTAGATTTATCCAGGCCCCTAACTTGACTATAAATTTATCCAGGCCTCTAACTTGACTTCAGAGTGAAGAAAAAAATGCTCTCGCTTCGCATTTTAAAATGTTTTAAAATAAGAAAAACCGTTCTGCTTATTATGTCTCCATGCACAGGTCCTTAGGAACGAATGTTTCTTTCTTTCCTAAAATCAACAAGGTGATAACAGTTCTCAAAACAAAATGTGTTGCTGAGCAAGCAACTGTTATGATCTACCTTTGACTCTCTTTTCAAAGATGCTTTGTTTTAATCATGCGTCTTTTTTTTCCACAGTTTGAGGTATAAAAAGGTATGTTAACTTGCAAAGAGGAGGCGTTCTGTTTAGAATCCTCCCTGCGATCATTTGTATGAGTGCCATTAAACTCAGACTGGGCCTGTGAATTCTAATACCAAACACAATGCAAAGTTTGATTTCTTTCATGCTAGGTAAAGACATTCAAAAAGCCTGAGGATGAATTGACCTAGATTACACATTTTCCTCTAAGCGGCATAATTTATATCAGTAGCAAACATAACACACATTTGTGTTTTGAGAGGGGCGGGGGGCAAATCTTAGACCAGGTTCCACCATTTTTAAACCAGTCTGAGTATGCTGACTTCTGTTCTGTTATGGGTATAGACCAGTTTCTGATCACTTATACCAGTACAAGTATAATGTCCATACCTGGGCTATGGGAGAAAGCCTTGCCATAGTGAAGTTTATAGAAGTTCTGCCATCAATTGAATGAAACCAGGATTTTATATTATGTGAAAAAACTCCATGTAAACCCAGATCTGTTACTTACTCCTGCATTTAGGGGATGACAGACATATATAATGACTACTGCATCAAGTTTCCCTTTGTGGAGGCTCATACACAGTAATTACTAGGGTTAGTGGTGGGCAGTATTCAATTTGAATTTGGATTCAGCCCAGTTTGGGGGACCATGAGTCCATTTGCCAATTCAGATTACCGTCCCCATTCAATTTGGCTGAATTTGAAGATTTGACTCTGATTCAGACAATCAGTAATTCGGCCATAGACACAGGTTTATATGTTTTTTCTACATACCTCAAGGTACCAGGTGTGGCTTGTGAATGCTGAGATGGTGGGGCAGATGAAGTGTCCCATGGGAGCGGGGGTGGGGGGGTCCACTGCCGAGCATGCAGAGGACCCCCCCATACACACACATCCCCCTGGCTTGGCAATTGGGTGCAGGGGAGCCCCAGGTTCTCCCCTGACCCAGGAGGCACCAGTCACTGAGCTGGGGGGCCAGGGGAGTCCCCTGCATGCTCTGTGGTGGACCCAGAAGTGGACTAGAAGTACTTCTGGTCCACTTCCAGATCTGTTGCTGAGCCCATGCTCCCATGGGATGCTCCATCCACCCCACCGTCTCAGCATTCATGAGCCAAACCTGATACCTCGAGTTAAATAGAAAACATAAAGTTGTGTCTATGGCCAAATCGTCAAATCTCTCCAAATCAATTTGGAGGCTTCCAATTCAATTCAGAGAGATTAATGAGTCTCCTGATTCAATTCAGATTTGTTGAGTCAGCCTCCAAATAGGGCCAAATCTCCTCCAAATCATATCAGCGACCAAAGCATCGCACAGCCCTACTAATTACATCTCACTCATACTCTGCTTATATGCAATGAACCACCTTATTCTGGACTAGTAGGACTCTGCAAGCTCTGTGCTATTTCTAATTGCTCTGGTTTTAAAAACAAAACAGAAGCATTTTGGCACTGCCCGTCAACCAGGGTTTTACACACTTTCAAAACGTGTTTGAACTTGAAAAAGTTGAAAACAAGACAATATTAAATAGTCATAGCCATGAACCATAGACCTACACAATGATGTGACTACGGTTTATATGAATGCACCAGAGAGTTTTGATACCCCTGATCTCAGTACCTTTGATTTCTCAGTGATGTCCAGAATAAATAAATACCTTGTTAAAAGCCAGTATGTTAAGGTAGAATGCATTGAAGTCACTGATTCAGCCTTTGATTTTGTCTGACAGAAAATTAAAAATGAATGAACAAAAAATTAATAATAAATGTATTCATGGCCTTATTGGGATTCATGACTCTTTCCCCAACATTAAACAAGTACAACCAATTGTTTTTCTTAAAGGGAAAAATGTCACAATTATTCAGCTGCAGACTCTCCAGACACCATTGCAGTGTATTTGAGCTGAGGTACGGTAAATAGAATAGAAATACAAAAGCTCACATACTTGCCTCAGGGTCCAAGATCCTTGATATTAAAGATTTTCAACAAAGTCTTGAAAGAGAGTTATTCTGTCCCCTCTTTAAATAATAATAATACTTATGACTTACAGCTGCAAGCACAACTAAAGCTGTAAAGGCTAGGCTGTGATCCTCCTTTGCATTGTGTAGACCTTTTCTTTGAAGGTAGCTGCATTCAAACAAATTGTTACTTGTCAAATAATGGGCTATTTAATATGGGCAAGAGTATCAGAATTTAGATCCTGTCATATGGTAAGTCATCGGTCCAATGTAAGAGGGACAGAGGTTTTCAGAAATGGTCACTGGGCCATTTTTTAAATGGACAAACCCATCTTTCCCTTACCTCACTTTCAGGGATGAAAATGAAAATCATATTGACCGAACAACAATAACAAAATTGCAGCCTAATGGAAACAAGGAATTTCAGCCCAAGTACTTAGAATTGGGCAAAGGGATAAGGCATGTTGCAACTCAAAACAGGTTCTTATAATGGGAAATGGCAGATAACCTTAAAAATTTGTGTGATTCTATAATTTATCACTTTGAAAGCATCATATTTATGATGGTTCATAATGGTAGGCAAAAGTACCTTGTGAAAAAGGAAACCCCAACCCCTTAGTCATGTGCCTCTGACTAAGCATGCACATACCCCGCCCCCCCCCCCCCACACACACACATACTCTTCTCAAGGAGGCAGGAGTAAATCTCCAGAAATGATTACCACACATAACAGAACAATACCTTTACCCAGATGAGAGATACAAAAAGATCCCCAACAGGAATTAGGTACATGACAATGTAGCCCTTCCATACATAGGTTATGACCTTTGACTCAATATAGCCCAACCCTATCTCCTAGTCAAAGCTTAGTGTCACATGATTTCAGAATATTTTTTATGGTCCTGCTGAGTAGTTCATTCCAGTTCTTGTGACGGCTACATTAGACTGGACTGTCCTGTTGGCTTCAGACTGTGTTTTGTATCCCCACCACAGCAGCTGCTACTCTTGTACCCTCTGACCAACATGCAAACCAAACTGCCCCGGTGCCAACAGCACATTTTTCAACCCCTCCTCTGAGATTAACTGGCAGCCCTTTTTACACCTGGATGACCCCCTTGCTAATCTCCCAGCTTGGTTTTGGAGCCACAGCTACCTTCACCAGCAGCAATCAAGAATTTCTTTTTGCTTAACAGTCCCGTCATTTTTGGTCAGGGAGAAGTGCTACTTTCAGCCTCCCAGACCTGTCCCTCTGTCTGTCCCACCAGGAATTCTGGAGGGTGGTATTCCCCTCCCTGCTTCTACCCAATCATAGCTACACTAGGTGATATTAATATTGCACGTGTTGTATTTCAGAGTTCTGATGTACTGTATTTCTTATACTATGGCATACATGTCAGTGCCTAGAGAACCCCAATTGAAACTGCAGCCCAATTACACCATGCACTCTGTACATACATGAGAAGGCATATTGCTCAGCTTGAGAAATTTACTGTCTAAATAGACAGAAAGGAAGACAGGAAACAGCAATTGGCCCATTTTCTATCTGAAGAACTGAGATCCATTGAGATTAAGTAACTTCTTTCCTTGTAAATAATAGATTATACATGCAGCTGGGTCTTGGGGAGGAGGCAGGAGCTGTGAATCCCAAAAAGCTTGAGATTATTCAAAAGCAAAGATAGGTTTATGTCCAAATAAGAGAAGTTTGGGTTCCCTTCAAAGAAGCTTATGGACAACAGAAGCAGCTTACTCAGTGAAGCTTGTCTACAGTGGCTCCATGTCATGCCTGGGAGGGTGGCCATGATGACACCCTGCTCCACACACACTAGCTCCCCCAAATGTATCTGCTTCAGAGTGACTCAGTGCTACTCTTTGTCTCCCTGGCCTTGGTGTGCTTACTGGAGTCCGCCCAGGTGGATGCATTGTTTCATTGATAAGATCTGGTGTGCACAGAGTGGAAGTATATCACAGAGCTATAAGTATATCAGGGTCATACATCTGGGCCTGGGGGAGCATCTATTTACTAAGCCCCCCCAGAGGAGGACAAGAAACAATGGGCACAAACTGATTGAAGATCACTTCAAGCTAGACATTAGGAAAAATGTCTTCACAAGTTGAGTGCCGAAGGTTTGGAACAGGCTCACCCCAGAGGTGGTACAGTCCCCCACCCTGGTGATCTTCAAAAAGCATGTTGATGTCCACCTTGTTGGGGTCATCTGACCCCAGCAGTCTTTCCTGCAGATGTGCAGGGAGTGGGGGGCTGGACCCAATGTTACTCAAATTGCCAACTGCTCAAATCATGAGCAAGACTTTATAAAGGGGGATAAGGCAAGGTGCCGTGTTT